CTGGAATACCTGGTCTATTAGTACTAGGGCGTCTTGTTGTTGTTGTAACTTGCGATGTTGGAGGTTTAGTTTCTATTTCTTCTTGTCCGTCTACTCCATTATCTGACTTTTTGGTGCAGTTTACATTTTGTGGGAGATCACACACTTGCAATTTTGAGTTGAAATGTAGTCCTGGCGGGCATGGAAGAACAACTTTTCTACCTTCATCGCACTTGTAAAAAAGCGAACAATTTGTCTCGTGTGGCAAATGTATTACTTTACCGTTGTCATGTTCAGGACAATGATCTGGAATTTCACCTGGTTTTGTTGTACTAGGGCTTTCTGTTGTTACCGGAACATGTGGTTCTGGAGATGTAGTTTCTTGTTCTTGACTTCCGTCTCCATTGCCTGGCTTATTTGTGCAGTTTACATTTTGTGGTAAATCACATGCTTGCCATTTTGGATTAAAGTGTAGGCCTGGCGGACATGGAAGAACAACTTTTCTACCTTCGTCACACTTGTAAAACAGCGAACAATTTGTCTCGTGTGGTAAATGTACTACTTCGTCAGTGTTATGTTCAGGACAATGATCTGGAATTCCACCTGGTTTCTTAGTACTAGGGGGACTTGTTGTTTTAACTTGCGATGTTGTTAATTTATTTTCTATTTCTTCTTGTCCGTCTACTTCATCGTTTGGTTTGCTTGTACAGTTAGCAAATTGTGGCAAATCGCATACTTGTTTTACTGGATTAAAATGTAAGGTAGGTGGGCATTGATGAAGAACTTTTCTACCTTCGTCACACTTGTAAAATAGTGTACAGTTTGTTTCGTGTGGCAAATGTACTACCTCGCCAGAGTCATGTGCTGGACAATGATCTGGAATACCTTGTTTCGTAGGACGTTTTGTCGATGATTGAGCAAGTGATTCACCTGATGAATGTTCTTCTATTTCTTGTGGTTCATCTACATCTTTATTTGGTTTGCTAGTGCAGTTGGCAAATTGTGGTAAATCGCATACTTGTTTTACTGGATTAAAATGTAAAGTAGGTGGGCATTGATGAAGAACTTTATTTCCTTCAACACATTTGTAAAACAATGTACAATTTGTTTCGTGCGGCAAATGTACCACCTCGCCAGAGTCATGAGCTGGACAATGATCTGGAACTCCTCTAGGATTTATTGAGGCAGCGTTAAATAATTTATCAACTGGTTGCGGTAAAGAATCATGTGTTTTTGAAGATATAGGAGCTATATCAATGTTTCTGGTCTCTTCATTTTTATTTTTGCAATTTGCATTTTCTTGTTTTACGCATACCTGTAAATCCCAGCAATTGTTTTTTATAAAGACTATTTCTTAGTGATTTTATTCAATATAAAAATAAGCATATCCAATGAAATATTTATTGAACTTATAAAAAAATTTATTAATAGTTACATTGTTTTTTTTATATATATACGTTTTACTATTTGTTTTTATAGACTATGTAAAAAATTTATTTTAAATTCGAGCCTTTCTCGAGACTAAAGTATTAAGAAAAAAATTGATATTTAATTGGTTATTTTATAAACTCTAGTTATTCTTTTGATACAAAATATTATGGCTAGTTAATATTTTAATTAAGGAAACATATTTTAAATTGTTTTATAGTTTGACTTATAGATGAAATATTATCTTATAATTATACTGAATTAAATCGCAATAGCAGTTTTACAATGACAATGTTTAATCGTTTGACAAAATCACAAGGTTTGAATGAAAATATATATAATAATGATTATTTATTAGAATGTTATTTCAGACTAAATACAGAACATAAAATATTGTGTTAATAATAGCGTTATTGGAACAAATAAATGTAATGTAGTGTGTTAGTATTAGTTATAACATTTCGAAAACTGCGCTAAGGATAGATACACAACGTAGATTTATATATTATTATAAGCCGATGAGTAAAATAACAATAGATATGATAATAATGTTAGTATATTAAATCTAATTAGATATTAGTACCATGTGCTGAATTTCATTTTACTTTTGTCCTTCATGTATGTTGTTGCTCAATAAGAAATGAAAACTTTTAATCAATTTATTTAAAAAAAAAAAAAAAGAAAAATAATAAATTGACATAGAATTTGAGTATTCCTTAATTTATAACATTCAAGTCAATAATTAAATAATGATAATGAAAAGGATCATGTTGCTAGGGATGAAAATAAATTGAAATTGTTAAATCTTGAATAATTTGAAAAACCATGTGTCAATTTTTATAGTTTGGCTCGAAATAATTTTTCGAAACAGGCTTTGGTTAATTTTGGTTGACAATTGGCTTCACTGGGATCGGTGCAAATATTTTCTGTTCGCTTCCAATATTTGCCGGATGGACAATATTGCAAAATCAATTCATTATTTATGCACTTATAGTATGCATCACATTGACATTCATGAGGGCTGTAAGAACCTTCTTCGCATACTCGTGGATGATAATTTGGACATTTTGCTGATGATGGATCTGTACAAATATTTTGTATTCTGTTCCAATGTAATCCACCTGTACAAGTCTTCTTTACGAATTGATTATTTTCGCATCTGTAATATACTTCACATATATTATCGTCCGGTTTGTAAGTACCTTC